CGCCTCAGTTGGCCCTTGAAAAATATTCTTTAATAAATCCACGCCTCAGTTGGCCCTTGAAATATTCTCGATGGGTGTCCTTTTTAATAAAATACACAAGCACACACGTATATATACACACACGAGGTTACTTAAAATAACTCTCATTGTCATTAATTCATCATTACAACAAACAAAAGAAAGTGAAAAGTTTAGGGGTGAGAGGAGGAGCTGTGATGGGGGTCTGTGTGGAAATTAGAAAACAAAGGTTATGGAGAAAATCCTCCTCACACAAACATAGGGAGCAAACAAATACATTCAAACCTAAAACTGTCAGTTTGACATTTACATCTCTTACATTCTCACACAAACACCCTACAGCTCACATGAAGGCAAACACATATACCTACTTAATATACATACATATGGTAAAACCCCCCTTGTTTGGGGGCCAATGACTTGGTAGGCCGAGCAGAAGGCCTGACCAGGCAAGGAGAAAAAACACCCGAAGAGAAACACATTTAAAAAAGGACAAAAGGATAACAGTTATGAAAAAAAAGATTGACCATAGAAACGCTCCACTTTTAAAGGTTATCAAAACATAAATGACAACGACCGACGAGAGCAGCTGAAAGGAAATACAAAACGACTACGACAACATACGAACGCCACACGAACGTGTTCCTATGACATACTAAACATTTTTCTTTTTTTGTTTGGTTTTCATTTTCAAATATAGGGAAGTGGTGCAAACGGAAAAGCTTTTCCATGGTACAATAAAAAAAAATCGGAACTTTTGCGTATACTATGACACCAAAAACAAGAAGAAGAAAAAATACGTTATAGAAGTTTTTGTGTATTTTGCAGAGAACAAGCTGTTATCATTGTGTAAGAGAGTAGTAGTGATGAGAGGGAAAATTTCTCCAAATTATGTATTCTCTCTTTCTGTTACATAAGTTAGTTTTTGGGATATTTGTGACAGCAGAAGTGGTGATGGGGATAGGAATGTAATAAACATTGGGATAGGCATTCGGCAGAAGGACTTTTTTAAATAGAAAGCCCTCAGGAGGAGGTCTAAAAAGAACATTTATAGATATTATTCTATGCAAAGATAACTCTCAGGGTATATCCTCGACTAGTCCTAGGGACCGACTAGCCAAGGCGTGGATTTATAAAATAATGTTTTTTCAGGGACCATAGCCAGGGCGTGGATTTATTAAAGAATATTTTTTTCAGTGACCATAGCCAGGGCGTGGATTTATTAAAGAATATTTTTTCAGGGACCATTGCCAGGGCGTGGATTTATTAAAGAATATTTTTTCAGGGACCATTGCCAGGGCGTGGATTTATTAAAGAATATTTCTTTATTTAAATATTGACCCCTATCGATATTTTCGGGAAATATGTTTTTCGACCTGCAAGAAAGCTGAATTCAAAATTACAATCACTTACTTACATAGCTGGCTTATGACAGAACGGTTGTTCCACAAGGCATCGGTCTTGTGCGCATCTCATCCAATTCGGAAGACCATTTTCCTAGATGTGGCCGTCTACTTGATCTTTCCATCGAATTCGTGGCCTTCCTCTTCTGCCCGACCATCACTTGTATCGCTTTTATATGCCTTTTGAGCTGGGACATCTTCATCCATTCTCACAACATGACCTAGACGACGTAGTAGCTGCAGCTCGATACGTCTGACAATGCCGATGTCCGGGAATAGCTGGTACAACTCATGGTTCATTCGACAACGATATTCACCGTCAACGCAGGTCGGCCCGTAGATCATTCGGAGAATATTTCTTTCAAACACTCCAAGAGCTGCCTCATCTGCAAGTACCCATGCTTCAGATCCATACAACAGCAGAATATTTCTTTATTTAAATATTGACCCCTATCGATATTTTCGGGAAATATGTTTTTCGCCCGGCAAGAAAGCTGAATTCAAAATTACAATCACTTACTTACATAGCTGGCTTATGACAGAACGGTTGTTCCACAAGGCATCGGTCTTGTGCGCATCTCATCCAATTCGGAAGACCATTTTCCTAGATGTGGCCGTCTACTTGATCTTTCCATCGAATTCGTGGCCTTCCTCTTCTGCCCGACCATCACTTGTATCGCTTTTATATGCCTTTTGAGCTGCCTCACCTGCAAGTACCCATGCTTCAGATCCATACAACAGCACGGGTTATATCAGCGACTTGTAGAGCGTGAGTTTGGCCTAGCGAGAGGTGACATTGCTTTTCAGTTGCTTACTCAGACCATAGTAACATCTGTTGGCCATAACTATCCTTCTCCAAATTTCTAAACTGATGTCATTCACTACCTCGAAGCTGTAGTTTTAAAATTCAACAGTTGGTCCGAGTATACTGGACGTCTTGATACCATCAGCTTGGTTCTCTCGCCATTTCCTGCCAGACCCACTTTGGCAGACTTCTTTTAAATTTTTACAAAGATGGATGTTACGCTCGCAATGTTCGACCCATTATATCGATGTCATCGGCGTAGGCGATGACATGTTCACCTTTGCGTCTCGTATGACCTTTCCAGCAGTATGTTAAAAAGATCCCACGACAAACTGTCATCTTGTCTGAATCCTCATTCGGTATTGAAGGGCTCCTGCATAGCCGCATTAATTTTGCAGGAATGCCGAACGTAGACATGGCTTTAAACACCTCTGAACGGATAGGGCTGTCGAATGCGGCTTATAGTCGACGAACATTGGGCTGAGGTTCCAAACATTGGGCATGCATTCCTCTAGCCAATCCTGTCCAGCATCTGACCTCCGGTCTTGAATAGTTCATTTCTCCTCTCCCGGTTCTGGAGCACCTTCTTCATCGCCATTATTTGATACCACAAGCTTTTCCGTCCAGATCCTCAACACGCTGTCTGTATTTGTCACCAGATTTCCTTCTTCATCTCTACAAGAGGATGTGCTCGTTGGTAAAATTTCCGGACTTCGTTCTGACTCCCCCTCTCACGTTTTGTTTTCTTTCCTCTTTTTTTCGGAAAATACGTTTCTCCTCTCTCCTTATCTCCCGATAATTCTCCATCAGATTACGTGTTGCCACTGCAGGGTTGCCCTCTACGCTGCGTTTTTTCACATCAGTAGCATTACGACACTCCTGATCGTACCACGGGTTCCTTGATGTTGGTCTTTGGTTTGTAGGGCGTGGACAATTATTTGCCATTGTGCTTCTATATTATTGTCGGGACAAGGAGTGATTTCTTCAAGTAGGTGGGTAAGTTGAGCAGAGTAGGCTTCTGCTACCTATTGTGTTCGACGCCGATTTTCGTGTTGTGTTATATCGCACCTTTGCTGCTACATTAAGACGAGTACGAACCTTGGCTGCTACAAGGTAGTGGTCCGAATCGATATTCGCATCTCGGATCGATCGAACGTCTAAAACACTGGATGAATGCCTTCCGTCTATCACAACATTGTCAATTTGATTTCTCGTTGGTTGATCAGCAGAAATCCAGGTGGCCTTGTGTATATCGAGAGGCTTGAATCTGGTGCTGCTAACTACCATTTCCGAGTGTGGGCAACTAACCCGACGCCTCAACCCATTTTTTATAGTTCTTATGAACTGATTTTGATTTTGAATTATCATTATATTAACATTGAGCCAATAGTTCACATATAATTGTACCCCGTATTAGTCGATATTCGGGTTGCTTTGGACACGTTTTTCTACCGAATTAGCTGTAACTTAGTATTATGGGATTTCATTGGTTAGAAAATCTTCCTACCAAAGATCTTCAGTATTGTTCAGTATATAGTTGTAATTTGGTATAGAGGGTTCTTGAAAGATGATATACATATGTATAGAAAATTATCATAATAGGTTCATATACAGATACAGCTCTCATTTACTAATTTGAGTGGCTGGAATTTTGCATTCCGGGACCTTTCATATAACCCCCCCATAAAGGTACCGTTCCGTTTTCAGTATTATTAAATTTATAACGCAATTTTCTCAGCATAGCGGATTGCTGGACCTATATATGTTCACAGTTTGATAAAGTCACACATAAAAGCCACCCCCCCCCCCCCCCCCCCCCCCCCCCCCTTTTTGGTAAAATTGTTTCCAATTGTTCTCATCGAAGTGGCTATAATTAGACATTTATATACGTATTTGTTTGTTTGGTTCGATCGAACCCAACTACATTTTTACTTGCTTATTTAAAAGAAACATCTCATCTCAATTTAGTCGAATTTCCTACCGGGATATTCTAATATAAATAATATCATATACTAACACCAAACAAAAAATGTTCAGAAGCTTTCAAAAGCTTTCCATTCATTAATGTCGCACGCAATAATTATAAGCTTCACTCTCGCTCGCACTTTGAACTTCTCCAGTTTTTTGAGAGGAAATATAAAAAAATTCCCATGCATCTAACAATCTGAATTTTTGTTTCTTCTAAGACCAATAGAGAGTGGGTGCAGGTGCGTATCTGTGTGTGCGGCATACTCATCTATACGAGTGTGTGTGAGTGTGCATGTCAATGAGTGATAGTCTCAGTCTCATGAGATGGGATTTTATACCCGAATTGGAATTGGGAAAATTTTCGTTTGTAATTTCACTTTGTCATCTGAACATTTAACATCGCGTGTCACGGCGGCGGTGGTGCTCGAAATTTTGGAATCTCTAAAAACCAATAGAACAAAAAAAAAATAAAATTGCAAACTGAAATTTGTTTGAAAAAAAGGGAACCGAACGCACACACACAAACACAATTCACACAAAATCGTTTGATTTTTTTGGTTAAGAGAAGCGAATAAAAAAAGAATTGAAATTGTATTTGAAATAATCACAGCGAAAACGAACGAAATCCATTTGAAATCCATATTTAATTTTCAAAAGTGGTACTGAGAACATAAAAAAGAAAACAATTTATTAATATTGAGGAAATTAAGATAAATTGTGAAAAATAAATTGAAAGATATCAACGAAAATTTTTAAATAAAAAAAAATAATTTTAATTGAAAAAAATTAAAAAAATTTCATAACCCCCAAAAAAAGGAGTCATAACCCATACCAAAATGCAGTCACTAATCATTGCCAGTGTCATGGTGCTAATGTTAGCCGTACAACAAGGTAAGGTCAATCATTGATGAAGAAAAAAAACTAAACTGAAAATCCAAAAATTGAAATTCAAATCCGTTTGCGTTCACTTCCTTGCACTTCGAGTCAAAGGTCATGGGGTAACAATAAAGCCTTTTGCCTAACATCGTAACGTTATTACGTTATTACATAATAATAAAAAACGCTTATGGAAGTCCGACCCTACTCCCCTTCCTTACCATAGCACACCAGCAATACTAACTACTCCCCATTAACTAACAATAGGACCAAGGAATACACACATACACTCACCCACACTTAAAGTCCTTAATTTTTTCGCAATAAATGACCGTTTACTTTAATAAATCGTTTTGCTAAATTCAAATATTTTTTCCACACAAAAGGGACAGAGGACACACTTCCAAAAAAAAAATCACAGATAATCCTCCCCTCACACCCTCTCCAAAAAATAAAAAAAAGAAAATCCAAAAAGGAAATCCCTAAATTTAATCCTATTTGCCTTGATAACCAGTGACAAGCGGGAAGGGCAGGCAAAGACATCAGCAAACCGTTTGACTGCCAAAAAGCTAAGCTGCAAAAGACAGACAACAACAACGACGACGACAACATCCTAGCCCATCCAAGCAAACCAACTGTTCTTGGGTACACAATTTGCAGAATTATCACCGCCAAACCATCACTGGCCATGGTTCTTGTTGTTGTTGTTTTTGCAAGGAATATTTTTTCTCTCTTCCAAACTTCTTACTCTCAGCAGCAGCTCTTCTTTTTTTGGTTACAACAACAAAATTCTTATCATTTCCGTTATTTTTTGGATTCGCAAACTTTTACATATACACTAGGGGGGATTTTCTTCTTTTGGTGTACATATGTGCGTAAACAGTGATGTCAAATTTGAAGGCAATAAAAAACGTCAATACGCTGAAAAATCGCCAAATTATGAATCGCCACATATGGCAAACAGTTAAGGAAAAAAATTGAAGGCGAATATGAGAATAAAAATTAATCAAATAAAAGGAAAAAATTGAAGGCGAATATGATAGGATGTAGATTTGACGCATCGCATTTTTATACCCTAAACAGATAAAAATGTCGTTAAGTTTGTGCGGGCCGAACTGTTTATATATCCTCACCATTTATTGTACATAAATTCGTTATAACGTTCGGAACATTTATATGAAGACTACGTCATATGCTAGAAGATTGTGTTAAAAAGCTAGGTGAGCTGGAGGTATTCTTCTGCAAGTATTTTTCTTCCTGTAAAAGAACTGCAAGTATTTTTCGTCCTGAGGAAGAGCTGAAGGTATTATTTTTCCTACAGGAGAACTGCAGGTATCCTGTGGAAGAGCTGAAGGTATCCTGTGGAAGAGCTGAAGGTATTATTTTTCCTATAGGAGAACTGCAGGTATTCGTCCTGTGGAAGACCTGAAGGTATTCTCCGTATAGGAGAGCTGCAAGTATTTTTCTTTATGTGGAAGAGCTGAAGGTATTCTTCTTCCTTAGAAGAGCAGGCCCTAGTACTGGGTCGGGGGATCCTGTCAATCAAGAAGTCCCTCTCAATGTCATCAGGATAGTTCCTAGAGAACTTCATAATGAGTTTGACGTTCCTCTTAATTAACAGGAACTCCTTCCCCGTGATAGAGTCGCTGTCCCGTCCGATGTATCGTTTACAGTAGTATACTGCTCTCCGATACATTTTCTTGGCAGCGATCTCCTTGGCATCGGCGTGTCTAGTAGATACTGGTACTGATGAGTCATCCATCTTAACGATGGAATTCTCATCAGCATCCCTTTCGACAGCCAACTGGCTGAGTAGTCTCGCGACATCACTGCAGGCCGTGGATATCGAGTCCAGATCCTCAACCTCGCCAGGGTTTACTTCCCTAGTCAGCAACTGGGAGGACGCTCCTTGCTTCAGAGCAGACATCATGGTTGCTACTGTGTTTATCACTGTAGTTCTGATCACTGTAGTTTCCATGATGTCATCCTCGTCCGACATGGGCGAGTCATCCCAGAGCTGATTTGGGATGCTCTCCTGACTAAGGTGGAAGGACCCTGGTTCCTCTAGAAGATTGAGGAGAAGATCCGACTGCCTCTCCAGGCTTGCATTAACTTCGTCGAGAGTAGAACAGGTGGCTAAAGAGAGGTCCAGGGGGATGGCTTGGGTCGTCAACACTTGAGGGGGTTCATTGATATCTGACCTTGTAGAGTTCGAGGCTGAGGGTGCCAAGGCAGCCACACCAGCATCAGTCGAAAAATCGCATAAATTGGTTTTGTTCTGTGGGTGGGGATTTGGTATTAAAGGATGGCTCCATAGAAGTGCTGTGAGTGAGGGTTTGAGGTCGACCATAGCATAGCCTCTTACCATGGTAAGGACTTGGCAACTAAGCCTGAAAAACTTGTTGAGGCGCCCAGGTATCAACAAGGCTCCGTTCTAATACAGTCGGGACCCTAACTGAAAACCGTGGAACGCTTATAGGCACGAGGTCGCATGACACCCCAGCGTTAGGGGAGACACTTAAGATGGTGCTGTCCCAGACCTTTGAGATGGATATAAAAAAGGGACGCTATTCTCGCCTTGTCGGCTCAGGGATCATAGGCACTCGGTCATTTCCTCCGAGACTCTGCCCCTGAGCCCGCTGATTGTCTTCGACTGTTTATTTGTTATTCACAGTTACCCAACGAATGGTGTTGGGTTTCCCACTATCCGCAACCTGGGGACGCGTCCGTTAGCATTCAGCTTTACACAGTTTCAACAGTGAGTTTGTTCTCTTGGTTGACAGAGTCGGCAAGATAGACCTTGATACATACATACATCTAGGTTCATTATGCCAGATTTCATTGGCTCGTTCGTCGAAGAAGGCATCAAAGTTCCGAAAAAGTGAGATATGGGTGGTTTGATTGAGCCATTGATTGCTAGATCTGTAGACTGAGATCCGCGTCTAGCCCTTCATATCAGAAATGGCGCCCAATTAGAATAATTACGAAAGAGCTTTGAAATTTAATAGAGACCTTTGGATTGCTTTTAAAATCATTATAGGCTCATTCTAAATGATACTGACGGAATACATACACCTTCATACCAGGCCTAGAATCATCCAAAATGACTTTTTCTTAGAATAGGTTTTTTTTTTTAAATCGAAATGACATTAATACCTCGTAATATTTTTGCCAAACATTAATCGTGTTAGGAAGATGGATGCTGCCATTGTACATGTTCTGTTTCCCACGTTCGCGAAGTTAAAACTTATGACTAATATGTTTATACCCTCAGCTTCGTGGCTAATGATTAACATTTGCCTCACCGAAATATCTGTTTTAGAACCCAAGTTTCTTTGGAGACAATTTAAAAATGTCCCTTCGTCTGTCCATCTGGCTAATTGCAAAAATCCCAAGAATTTTGAAAAATAATATGAAATTCGTGTATTTGAAATGAAAATAAAATTATTTAATCTGCCTAATCACGAATAAAAATCCTGCCCCTTCCTATATTGAAATAAAAAATCAAAAAGACGAAAAATATATGGATTGTCATGAATATAGCCTGTTAGTTACATACCCTTCGGCGGGAAACACGACTAGGACCATCAAAATATTTAAAAATAGAGGCCTTTATTAACATTCTCTGCATTTTGCCATCAATGAATCCGGAATAACATATCAAATCTCCTGCGGCGTTCTCCATTTAAGGACCATCAAAATACTTACATATAATTGAAAGGTCACTACATGCGGGGGCTGTATCTAAAAATAAATCATTATAAGAAGATTTTCCAGCTAATGAGAACCAAACATATTAAATACACAATTCGATTGGGAAGCGCATCTGAAACCCTTAGATCAATAATATATATTCTTTTGAGAATATGCATAGAATCACTTTCTGAGTCGATTTATGCATGTCCGTCCGCCTATTTGTCTCTCTGTCGATGTTCAATTGTAAACAAAGTACAGGTCGCATTAATGATCCGAATTGGATGAAATTTGGCACATCTCATTTATTAGGCCCAAGGACGAACCCTATTGAAATTGAAAAAATCGGTTCAAATTTAGATATAGCTCCCATATATATTTTCGTCCGATTTAATGTAAATGGTGTACCAAAGTCTCTATATATCTTTCGATTTGCCCGAAATTTGTCATAGCGTACTGAATTGAGTCTAGTACGATGTGTGTTAAGTTTCGGAAAATCAGTTCAGATTTAGATATAGGTCCCATATATAAATATATACACATTTCGTCCGATATAATGTAAATGGTTAACCAAATTCCCAATATATATTTCGATTTGCCCGAAAGTTGGCATAGCGAGCTGAATTAAGATTTTTTTTTATTATTTATACTCTTTCGAGTCGAGCTTGATGATCTAAGTTTTGCAATGAAAAGGAAAGCCAGGAGAAGAACCTACGTACCTGGAGAAGAACCTACGTACCTGGTTAAGCGGCTCATCAGGCATATTGGGCTATGTGGCTTTACAAATGTCGTACGTTGATAACTTGTATTTATTCCGCCCTGATGCGAAACTTACATATGCGAATTAAATTCAAATTTGTCAAAGTTCGACATTTGTCTTCATTTCAGGAACAGTCCTTTTCAAAGCAGATTTTTGTTGTAGCGATGGATAATTAATCCACACACCTACAATTTCTTCCATGGTATGTCCATGTTTTTGCGCAACCATTTTGGATGTGTGTTGATGGCTCAGAACGTTATGTAGTCTGGCAACATTGTGTTGCTCCGAGGACCTAGGTTCGAGCCCTAGCCGTGCTCAGCGTGTTATTTGAATTTTGCCTTGTAAGGGCAGTGATCATTTCAAAGTAATTTTAAAGTAATTTAAATTTTAAAGTAATTTAAAATTACTTTGAAATGATCACTGCCCTTACAAGGCAAAATTCAAATAACAAAAAGAGCTGAATTAAGTTTAGACTGATGTGTGCTAAGTTTCGTGAAAATTGGTTCTGATTTAGATTTAGATATTTTAGTATGATTTTATGTAAACGGTGCACCAAACTCCA